AGAAACAGCGCGGCTGCTGGAGCTGAGACCGCAGGAGTGAAAGCGGCTACCCGCCGAGGTGTGAGCGGCAGCTGGCAGCAGCGCCTGCTCTGCGATGCGGACCCCTCACCCAGGACGGCCCTAAGCAGAGGACGGGACCCTAAACGCCACCCCCCGTTTTCTTCCAGATAAACCTTCTCAGTGTGAAGGTGTTCCAGAGACGGGGAACCTTTCCTTTACAGACCGCAATTTTCCTCTTTTCTCTGGGTCCCACATGGAATGTCTGTGGGTGCAGGTCCTCCTCTACTGGAAAGCTGATTTTGGGGTCAGTAGGTGGGACTCGCAGAAACAGCCAATTTAAGGCACAATAATGACATAAAAATCAATTATAATGTTACATTGTGCAGATTTTTTTTTAAAAAAAAACACGTTAAAAAGCGCTTTTACTTGTATTAAGTCGTTAATGAAACGTCAGGATTTTCACAAACCAGGCAGGATAGGCAGCCTATCCGTTGAAGGACCAGAACTTCAGACAGGGTCCATGACTTGCTTTTCATGACGCTTGGTAGTTGGTGGCAAATTCAAAGTTTTGCCCCAGTATGTTGGCTGCACTGTACCTCCAACGCTTCTCTTCACTGTGGCTGAACTTTGAAATCCCCGCCCCTCACACCCTCTCCGGGCCACACCCAGACTCTGCGCCCGCGGGAGGTGGTGCGAGGCTGGAAAGCACTGTCCTGGCGCCCACTGCAAACCCCTACCGGTCTGAATGCCCCGCCCCGACCCCCACTCCTCCCTGCCCAGCTCTTCAACTTAATCTCAATGCTAGTCCTGCACAATAAATATTTGATTGTTTGTAGGCAAAAGAAAGCTCCTTCCTTTATCAAAGGACTCCTTTAGATCCTTTTATGTTTTCATTTAAAATTTTTTTGAATTGATTTTTTTTAAAGAGGAAAGGAGACGGAGAAAGAGAGAAACATGGGTGTGAGAGCAGAACATCCATTCGCTGCCTTCTGCATGCTTCTGCGTGGACCCTGACTAGGAATCAACAGGCAACCTTTTGGGGGAGGGGAGGATGCCCAATCAACTGAGCAAGCCACACCGGCCAGGGCCCTTTAGATCATTTTTAAAGGAAGCAGATAATTGAGAGAACAAGGAAATGCTATTTGATGACTATCAAATTAGGTAAAAAAGTTTTCAGAGATTTGATAAGATCAACTGTCTCTTCCTGTCGCTGGTGGGAATGTGGGTTTGGAATTCTCCCTGAGGAGCACTTTGTATTCAGCAGGAACTTTAGAACAATATTTCCACCTATAGAAACGTATCCTAAGGAAATTGAATTTATGCCACAAAGGTATTCATGGAAGCATTACTTATAATAGTGAAATTTCTGAACAGCCCTAAATGTTCCCTGTCAGTGGAGTAGCTGAGAAGATTTTGGTACATCTATGTGGAATTCCATGTGGCGATTGAAAGGATGTTTGTGAAGAGGAATTTTTAATAACAGGGAGAAAGATCGTGAAACAGATGCAAAAAGCAGAAGTTAAAACTGTGCATATAGTGTGATCTGTTATGTTAAAATGTGTGTGAGGAAAAGATTGGGAGGAAAACCAAAGTGTTTATGGGAGTTTTCGCTGGGTGCAGAATTATATTTGTTTTTTAATTTCTTCCTTGCATTTTTCTGTGCTTTCCAAATTTCCTATAGTAGACATAAAACATTTTCATGTTGAGAAAATGCCAATAAATAAGGTAAAAGGAAAATAGAATGCCTCCTTTTGCATACCTTTCTGCTTTCTAAAGTATTCACTAGATAATGAGGACATTTTCCACAACAGTTCTCTTTCCAAGGAATGGTCTTCCTTTATTTTCCCCTGGGCCAATCCTACCAAAACTTCTTTCTCAAATACTCCATGATGTTCTTGAAAACAAAACAAAACTCATACACTTACTGAGCGTTTGTAATGTGTAGCCAACATCATCCTCAACCATGCAACAAGGCATGTAGCACCTCTACCTCCTGGGCTAAGAAACGGAGGTGCAGAGGTGATTAGGAACTCGGCTGTGATCACACAGTGAGGACCTGCACCCAGTCTACCTGCTTTCTCTGACTGCTGCGATTCACCCTCTGAAAGCTCCCTCCTCTGACAGGTCACTTGGCATTTACTCACATGCTACTTGGAGTGGCATCTCTGGTGATGTTATTATTATTATTATTTTTTTAATGAGTGTAGCCCTGGCTGGTGTGGCTCAATTAGTTGAGTGTCCTCCCATGCACCAGGAGGTTGTGGGTTGAATTCCCCAGTCAGGGCACATGCCCCAGTTGTAGGCTAGATCCCCAGTAGGGGGCGTACAGGAGGCAGCAAATTGATGTATCTCTCTGACATTGATGTTTCTCTCTCTCCCTCCCTCTCACTTCCTCTCTTTCTAAAATCAATAAATACATATAAAATTTTTTTTAAATGAATGTATGTCTTTTCTTCTCCTCCCCAAATATTGTAGGTTCCTTAAAGTGAATGCTCAGATATCCAATATGCAGCTAGCCTGCTGATGAACAAATATCAGGCTCTCTAATCCTTTACTGAACCTTAATTTAATGAATTAATGACTTTCCTGTGTGGCTTTGGCAACAGGGCCCATAGGTTAGGGGCTGTCAGGCTTTGGCAGGGTCCCCAAGTTCTCACGCTGGCCTTAGCCCAGGGAATAACTAGCTTTGGCCATAGTTTGGAAGGGATGCTTCCAAATCCAGTGACACAGTGGCAAGCAATCTGCCACCTCCTGTTGCTCGCTCTGCAGCTGGTTGATTTGTGTGTGAATGTGCATGTGTATGACAGAAAGCTGTATTCTGTCCCCAAATAGGCTCAAAGCCAGTCGAGGAGAAAGCTTAGGGACAGACTTCCTCCTGATGGTAGATGGCAGAAGGCAGTGGCATTAAAGCCCTTCTGAACGTACCAAGTCTCTCTGTCCCTCCTCTGTCTCTTAAAAGGAAAATATCTATTTTGTTTGTTTGTTTCTGAAAGGGGAAAAAACTTCCTTAATGGCAGTAGGGGATACTCAAAGAGTCAAAATTAATGTATTCCCAAGTGATAAAAAAAGGAGCTATTTCCCAACGTCGTATAATTCTAGCAAAAGGCTACAAATCTCAGAGAGACAATGCTATCGAATGTCAACTATTTCTAAGCTGGTATTAGGTGGGAGAAATGGTGCCCCTCCCCACTGTACCTGGCTCACTCCTCCTCCCTCAATTCCTTCTGTCTCCAACACCAACAAGTAAAAATGACTGGAAAATAAACCAAAGCTTTCCGTTTTGCAGCTATAAGACCAATTTTGAAAAATAATTACTGTTTTTCTGGGTACCTAAATCTGCCATATCCTGAATTTCACAAAGATCTGACTTTACTAAAATGAGATTATTAAAATTTCTTATACAGAGAGAAAGGCTAGGCTGGTAAACACACACAGCCTATTTAGAGTTACCTTGGTAAGACATTTTAACAAGTCGGTCACTTAATTAACCATGCAATTATCGTTACTTGACTAATTCCCCTGCCAGGAGGATGCATTTCTCCCAGCGTTCTCTGTGCCCGTGTGGTTAGCATGGTGTTGGCTTTGCGGGTGTGACTTTGCAGATCTGATGAACAACAATAAACAGACTCAATATTATTGCTTCAGAAATGATGGTGTCAAGCTGGGAAGAGGGCATGACTTTAGGAAATAATTGAGTGAGCAAACTGTGTTCTCCCTGGAAAAGGCTTGTCATTGTTTTCCTTAAACTAGTAATTTATTGGCGGTGACCTCAGGCAGCTATATAACAAGAGGAAGTGCCCAGAGCCCCGTGGACAGTATGCTTTCTAAAGAGAACTATGCATCCCATGGCAGCGTCAGAGTGTTCCCGGAAATGCAGTGATCTGATCATCCATGAGATTTTGCTGACATCATTCCACCAAGAGCTTTATATTAGCAGAAGGACAGAGTGGCAATTGTGTGTGTGTGTGTGTGTGTGTGTGTGTGTGTGTGTTTGTGTGTTTGTGTGTGTGTGTGTGGTAGGTAGGGACCCATCCATGCAGTGGTATTCTAGCATGAATAATTTTCTAATCCAAAGCCATGATATTGCCCTTTGAGCTACTTGTAGGTCTAAGGCACAAATGACAAACTCTAAAAACCTAAAGGTATTGTAAATGAACGAGGCGATAGGGAGTGGTGGGGACTGTTTAGAACTGGAGGGTGCACGCCCTTGTCTAAGGGAACAGTCACTACTCTTGATAGCCCTATGTGAGAATTTGGGCCTGATCTTCCAATTTTTAAAGAGAAGCTGAAAGTCCTGATTTTTTCATGAGAAATTTCTCAAATTTAAAGTGTTGATTCAAAACAAACCAGCAAGCAAACAAGCCAACAAACAAAACTCTATAAGCTTCCAGTTTACACTGGCCTAAGGTGTTGGCACTAGGAACCAAAAGATAGACTGGGGAGTTGGGTGACTTGGAAGGAAGGAAGGAACAGATACAGATATACACAAGGGCAGCAATGGAAATAGCCAGAACTGGCCTCAGAATACTTTGGGGTGGCCTCAGCACCAGAATTTGTTCATCACTCCAAGACTGAAATGAATCACTTTGGATTTCCTGAGTTGATCCTCTCTTGTGGCTCCCAACTGTACTCAGGCTAGTATTTGGGACCCTCAAGAGAATTAACTTCCCTGTGTCTCTATCTTCCCTCAACTCAGGCTCTCAGTCTTCTTGGCTACCTTGATGCATGAGTGCTGGGCTGTTATTTCTTTCAACTATTGTAGGACAACATTGTTGGGAGGAGGGACCTTCCTCCCTCATCTCTTTAAACAGGAAGACCCACAGTAGGAAGGAGGATCTCTAGCTGAACTGCGTGGCTGAGTGGACCAGATCATGGGGCTTCAGAGCCAGTTCATATAGGTTCTTGAGTGCTGACTGTACACATCTCTTCCAACTTCAGAATCTGGGGCAGCACACTGGTTGCTTAAAATGGACCACGGTGGGAATATTCTCACCAGGGGACCTGCAAATGCTATAAATCAGGGCTAATTTTTTTTTCTGAGAGCTGGTTTACTAGAACACAATTTACCAGTCTAGATCCCGGGCAAGTCTAGATCCTAAGTCTGTTTTGTGTTTTTGTGTGTGTGTGTGTGTTTTTTTTAAGCTGTAATACCCAGATAATAATAGCATTTTACTTTGTGGATTGTTGGAAAGATTAAATAGGATAGTGCATGAAGTCTTTAGTGCAGCATGGAACACATAGTATGTGCTCAGTAAACATTACCTATTATTAATTCAGGCTCATACATATCTCAGCTGCTGAAATGTCTTTCTTGTCAGTGGAAGGCTTAGATTAAACAGGCAAATGGCTTTCTCCACTGTTACCCACAAAAGTGAGGTGAAGGGAAATGGGGCTTTGAATAAAGTGTGAAATCTTCTGATTGTGGGGCAGAAGAAAGACATATGTGATTGGGGAAGGAAATAAAAGTAATAAAGCGTCTCATATGTGCCTTGAAAGCCCCCCCGTGTAGTTACAGAGACTCGGATTCAGGGTTGGAAGGGATCTTTGAACCCATTTGGTCTCTATTCCAAGGAGTGCCTTCTACAACCACACAGCAGGGTGGTCCCCTCCCTGAA